ACAAATGAGTAGCTGATAGTTGGGCACAGGGAGCATGGAAGAGGAAATGCAGTTAGCATTAATATGATGGCTAAGTGAAGGGCCAGGGGAGGGAGGGAGCAACTGGGGGGATCATTTTATGAACATTATAGATATCTAACCAATGTACGTTATACTTGAAACTAATTTAAATAAATAAATATTTTCCAAAAAATCTCAGAATTGTTCCTCTCCACAGAAATCCTTAGTAAAAGGCGAAAGATTTATACAATCTGAAGAGAAACCAGAATATTGTGTTTTTTTCCTGATGCTTTTCATTATCACAGAATATGTCACTTGTAATGTGTGCTAAGAGGAAATGAAGGGTGAAGGGAGAAGAAGCCAAACTGAGAAAAACTAGATGGTCATTTCACTTCTCTTTTTTTTGTCCTTATCCATAGCCAAGATCATCATGAATTTTCTGAAGAGAGTAACAATATCTAAGAAGAGGTCAACTCAGTGCCAGATAAAATCCTTATCTTCATTTTCGGCCTTTTCAATAATGAGTTGAGCATCAAAAAAAGACAAAGCTACATGTGACCAATAACCCCACATACAGGTTTGCCTGGAAAAGCCAAATGGATCCAAATAAAAGATTCCCCAGGGAAGACAAGAGCATCAGGCTTACGGCTGACATCAAGATATCTCTCAGAGAAGGGTAGCTATGGTGCCTGGTAGAGTGCACTCAGGGTGACGACCACTGCTGTGCCCATGAGGTAGTGAGAAAGATGCTGTTAAGGTAAAGACCGTTAGATCAAGGCCTGGGGTTGACGGCACCATGCAACTCTAAAGCAGATCCCAGGCCAACTCCTATAAGGAAAGTAAATCTAACAAGAAGTCCCAGTCTTTTTGCTCAGTTTCATGGCTATGAGGTGTTGCCATCAGCTTAATCATCAACCCCAGGGAGCCCAAGGCAGAGAGCAGAACAGCCTGAATGAAATGAGTCACTCCATGGACATAGGCCCCCACAGCTGCCACAAACACACAAAGGGTAGAGCTGGCATAGACTTTCTCCAGGTGCTGCTGTGTCGAGGGGGTTATGTGGGAAAATTTTAAGAGCACATTGAAGTTGATCTTCCGGTCAAATATGTTCATGATGTCAGAGTCTGTGGGATACAGCCTCCGCTCTCAATTTGTTCATTAGTTCTGTTCTTAAGGATGGATACAGGGAGAAGCTAGAGAACTACTAAAGCTGTTGCTCTCATCTCTAAGTCATGGGGCTCTAGGTCCTCTTGATCTAGATGTTGCCATTATTGCAGGCAGTTGCACTGCCAACCACAGCCTTCCATAACCATGAAGAATATGTCCTCTAGAGAGCATACTTGCAGGAGGGCAGAATCCAGACCTTCTTATCCGCCCCTCAGGAGCCCACACAGCTCTTCCAGCGCTGGACATGCTTCTCTTCTGGCACACTTCTTGATCTGTTTTTTCTACAGGTGATTCGCGTGGGTCAGATTGTCTCTACTGTGGCTGCTGATTTATATATGCCAAGGCCAAGCAAACCACATGCAAAAAAGGTGAAGACTGTGTACCAAGATTTGGAGCCTGTGAATGTGGGCATGCAGTCAGAATCCAACTCATCTTTTGGTCATGAATATTTCCAGAAAGTTCCAAAGTGTGTTGCTACCACGGTACTTGTGAAAGTCCTTTATCTTGTCTGCATTTCTCAGCTGCTGCAGAGGTAACACAGACTAGAAAGCACATTTTCTCCTAAATATTTCAGTCTGCTTCTCTTTCTCTTACTACTAGCTGGAAATGCATCCTCTCAGCTATGGCGGACCCCTAATTATGCCCACTGCCCTTAAGTAGACTTGCAATCCTTCTGGTTTTCCTTAAGGGAAACCAGTGAGGAAAGCCCCAAATTCCAAATTTGACAGGTGAATCTTGAGAAGTTCAAATCCTTGCCTCTTAACATATTTAAATTTCCTGAGTATGTAAAGAGCTCCTGAAAATCAAGAAGAGAAAGCCAATAGAAAAGTGGGCAAAGGATGCAAGCAGACAGGACATAGGGGGAAAAAATGTAAATAGTCCTTCTATCTAGGAAGAGATGTTTGGTCTTACTAATAGGAGAAATTCAAATTAAAAGCTACAATAAAATGACATTTTTAACCTATCAGATTGGCAAAATACAAAACTTTGATGACCATTTGTCATGCTGTGGGAAAACAGATGCTCTCTTTTTTGGTAATGGACTGTAAACTGGAACGATTATGTGAAAGGAGATTTAGCATTATCAATTAAAATTCCAAATGTATATGCCCTTTGATCCAGCAACCCCGCCCTAGGAATTTATGACACAGCTTACTTAGCTTGAACACATTCAAAAGAATGCATTTTCAAAGTTAACCATTACAGCATTGTTTGCAATACAAAAATATTAGAAATATTAGAAACTCAACTGTCCATGTATCTATACAATGGAATTTTATGCATATACATATATAAAAGAATGAGGACATTCTCTATACGCAGATATAGAAAGATCTCCAAATTATATTGACACATAAAAAATTATGGAAAATATTTGTGTAAAGAAAGGTCATAATATATTTCATATGTGCTTGTATTTGCATCTAGGAGCTCAGGAAGAGCACACAAGGAACTATAATGGTGGCCTCCTTTGGTAGGAGTGGGACTAGACAGAAGGACAGAGAGAGCAGCAAGAATCTCCATCAAATATATTTTAATTATTTCATCTTTTAAATCATTCGTGTTGCCTAATTTTGAAACATAATTTAAAATATCACCTTGAAAAGCCCCTTAAATTTTCCATAAAGTCTAGCACACAAGGTTTTATGATCCTTCTCTGTAATGCTTATGCAGATTACAATTTGAAAACAACTTGACTAAAATAAAGAACAAAGGTTAAGGTGTCTAGGTATTAAAATCACTCTCCTTTAACGTACCCACCAAATTCTTGGCTGGAAGTGGGTGGAGAATTCTAAGGAACGCATGCTTGCCTGTAGGGATTAGACTAATCTAATATTAAGCCTCCAGAATAGGTCGGTTTGTTGTCACGAGGATTAAAGGAGTCCGAATTGCAGTGAAGTTTGAAAGTTGTAAGTAAATTAATATGCATGTAATGGGACTCTGTTATAATGGGGGTCATATTTTCTGAACTGTGCCAGGTCGGGATACATGATGTGAGAAGGGCAGCTGCTCCAACTGACGCGCTAGGACATCCTGTCTGAAATCCACGCTGTCCTAGGGAGTTCTAGGAGTGGTGGTTAACATCACGTATGGTTTACAGTGTGAGGGGTGTGGGGGTGACCAAAGTCAGAAATCTTGAATTGCACTACAAAAAGAGTAATACCTTTTCTTTGCGATCCTCCACGAGACGCAATACCACACGAATCATTCACTAGACCTGCAAAAAATTGAAAACAAGGAAACATTGATGAGGCATTTGATTCCATTGATCAAACCATTGAGGCTGAATTCTTTTTTTTAACTTTATATTATTATTAGTTTAAAGTATATCATATATTGGTTACACACTTATGTAGTTTATGAAATGATTCCTCTGATTCTCTTTCTCTCCTCTAGCTCAACACCCAGCCATTACATTAATGCTAACTGAATTCCCTATGCTGCGCTCCCCAACCCCATGACCATATATTGACTACTAATTTGTACTTCTTTAACCCTTGAGGGGGAGGAGGACATAAACATTTAGTCTATAACATCTAAACCTTAGTCATTCCTCAAGTCTCCCCTCTTCCCTGAACCTCCCAATGACCCCACCCAGGCTGACCAGTCCACATCTGCCCTGCTATTACATTTGTCTTCTGAACACCATTTAGCAGTTTGGTTCAGTTCCACAATCCCGTTTCATGTGCCCACTCTGAGTGAGGCATTGTGCTGGGCCAAGGGAAAACCATAGTAATGACACGTCCCTGACCACAGTCTATGGAGAAACAGACATGGAAGCAGGCGATTGCCACAGAGACCTCCCAGTGCTGGGGGCTGCACACTGAGGGGGCCAAGAACCGAGAGCTGTTTGCTCATCCAGAGTGCTTTCTAATTCACTCTTTGTCCCCAACTGGCTTGCAACTTTAGAGGAGGCAGCCTGTTTTATTTCTTCCACCTCCATTACTGAGCTCTAATACTCAGAAATGTCAACTGACTGGAAAAGATTCAAGTGACATGGTGACTTTAAAATCAAATGACCAGGTTTGAATCCCAGTTCTACCACTTAAACTAGCTGTAAGTGTGACCTTGGACAAGTTTTTGACCTATCTGTGTCTTAGCTTCCGCATCTGTTAAAAAGAGAAAATATGGTACCTACCTAGTAGGATCCTTGTATTAAATATGCTTGGATGTAACAGCATTTAACACAGTGCCAGCACATATTCACCACTAAAGAAATGCTAGCAGTGATTGTTATAATGGTGATCTTTATTATTCTCCAGCCAGTCATTTATGCTTCCAGCCTTATGTTTTCTGATTTTTCTAGCCCACAACACCATAATAGAGAAGTGAATGAGAGAAGACTTTCTGACCAAGTTACAGTGGCAGAGAGGATAGGTGTCTAAGGTTTGGCAGGGCTGCTATATTCCAACTTAGTGTTGGCTGAAACTTCCTTTAAGCTACCAAAGGTGCCCAAATCTGATTTGATAAAACAATTATACAGTTTAAGATACATGTGAAAAATGCAGTACAGTTCTGGATGTATAAGGCAACCAATCAATAATTGGATTGAAGTAGTTTTCGTAGGCTAAACTATTAGTCACTCCTCTCCAGGACTAAGGCAAAAGAGGGAGCAGAGAGCCATCTGAGATGCACAATCATTTACATATTTGTTCAACAAATGTTTATAGAGCACCTAAAAAGTTGTGGCCAGGCATTTCAGAAATGGCGAAAATAATCAGAGATCCCACCTCGTGGAGTTTACAATTTAATTGGACATGGTCTTATAATGAAAGCAACACAAAGTAAAAAGTGTTGTGCCAGATGCAGCCCAAATATAGTCCTGTGGACAGTAAGGAGGAGGAGGTGACATGATCTAGACAAGTGGACACAAAAGAAAAGGAATTCCAGGTGGAGGAAAATAGAGAAGCATAGGCTAGGGGTCAGAGAAGTACCAGGTATGTATCAGAACATAAATAATTTGGTCTGACTGGAGGGTAGAGTATGAACTGGGGAAATCTGGAGATAAAACTGGAAAACTAGCCTGGATCAGATCATAGCTATTTTTAAGTATAAGTTAAAGGTTCGGGTTTTCTTCCATCTACAGTGCAGACCTTTGACAGT